TAGAAATCCAATTCAGACCCTGAACCTATCTCACATTTGTAATTTCCATTTTGCCCCCATAAGAAATTTCCAGGGTCTGATCTCACCTGCGCCGTTTCTTATCGAATGTATTTGCCGTAGTCGTAGTCGTCGCCGTAGTCGCAGTCGAAGTAGCAGCAGCAGTGAAGGGTAGTGTAGTATAGTATAGAGTGCAGTATATTACAGAGTATAGTATGGTATTGGTACAGTACAGTACAGCACAGTACAGTTTAGATCTGGCAAAGACGTCCTCACCCCTTCCCTGAATTACTCTGCTATCGGGCTCTGCCAACTGTAGCGTGCCCATAAGCTATTACTACAGCCACTGGACTGGACCCGTGTAGCATGGTGTTCATACTGAAGTGTATTGTGTCACTTCCCCCAAAAAGCCCAGCGGCAGAGCCGTAGCCTTTGGTATAGGTGCCGTCCTGGAGGGGCAGCCGAAGTTGCTAAGCAAAAGAAGACTTCGACGACCGGCCATGAACTTCGTATCTTGGGAGCTTAGGCCTCAGGGTAGTTAGCTAGCTAGTTACAGAATTAGTCAGTTTCGTCGAGAGTTGGTTGGCTAGTCAGATTAGACTAAGTTTTGTCTAGTTAGTTGGCTAGTTCGCAAGTGACTTATTAATAATTATTGTAAACCCGTAAGTTATGAGCTAAATCAACGCGGTCCTCGCAGCGCTGGCAGCCTCAGAAATCACGTCAGCTGCACGGCACAGGATTGGGCCGTTCAGGAGCCGATGGCTTGAGATTAGGATCAGACTGACCAGACTGATTCAATTTGCGAAAGCCCAAGCAGTGGCTTTGACCAGACAATTCGCGAGGTTTTCTCGCTCTAAAGAACCCGAACTCTCGAACAAACCGCACACTGCTCGCAGAACACAATATCTCCAACTCTTCTCTATGCCTTACCAAACCACTTTTTGCGTCCAGCCTGCGAAACACCGAATCTTAAATGGCAGGCGGCTGTCGAAGTTGTTCGTTTCTGCCTGTGCGGCCAAACAGGTCTCAGGAATTGGCGTATGATCCTTCCTCGTCCTACTACTACAGCTGCTACTACTACTGCTACTACTACTACTACTTCGCTGCAGCACAAACATAATTAGCAGTAGTAGTAGTAGTAGTAGTAGTAGTAGTAGTAGTAGTAGTAGTAGTAGTAGTAGTAGTAGTAGTAGTAGTTTTTTGGCTCCCGCTTGTCAAGTAGTAGTAGTAGTAGTAGTAGTAGTAGTAGTAGTAGTAGTAGTAGTAGTAGTAGTAGTAGTAGTAGTAGTAGTAGTAGTAGTAGTAGTAGTGGTAGTAGTAGTAGTAGTAGTGGTCGTAGTCGTAGTCGCAGTCGTAGTCGTAGTAGTAGTAGTAGTAGTCGTCGTCGTCGTAGTAGTAGTAGTAGTAGCAGCAGTGGTACCCGACGGTCACTATGATTTTGCTGCTGTAGTTGCTGCTGCTGCTACTGATTTGTTGTATGTTGCTTGTTGCTTGTTGCTCGCTGATCTTTGTTTCAGCGTTGTTTGTTGATAGTTGCTTGTTGGTTGCTGGTTGATGGTTGTGCTTGCGGATATTGCTGTTATTGTTCTTGATGTAGTTCTTGTTTTTGTTGTTGCCGGTTGAGGTTGTACAATGTCGCGTGGTCCTTCACAGATAGCTTGCGTTCAGCGGTTGTTCATCTGTCAAGGTCTTACTTTAGCGAACCCCTGACGTTTAGAACGCCAGTACAAATCCCTCAATGCTAAGAGGTTAAAAAGTTCCAACAAAACCCCAAACCTTAAACCCTGATTCCAATTTCGAGCTCTGGTAAAACTTCCTGGGCCTTGAAGGTTCCAGGGCGGCACCGGCGGCAGTTGAAGTGGTCGACCAAATGATCCCATGCCTCCGAACCCAAAACTAAGTCAAAACTACGGTAAACCCTAGCCGCCCTAAACCCCAACCACCCCAAACCCGACACCCCGAACAGTGCCGAAGTTCAGGGGTTTGGCTTCACAAGGGTCTCCATATTCATATATGGGATTTGGAAGCGGCAATTAAGGAAGGTAAGGGGGCTCTAGAAGGGTTTGGAGTTCAGGGTTTAGTTCGGGTTCAAGTTTAAGTTTAAGGTTCAGGTTTACCCTTCCGCACGCCATGTTGGTGAGACACACAATGAAACCTGCAATTTGGAATGCCTGAGTAGGTCCTGCTGAATATGGAGTATAGAGAAAACTACTATGTTCAAGCCCCTCCTAGTATGCTACATGCCTCCCTCACGAACTAAGCAGGGGGTGTGCGATTTGGTTTGGGGCTCAAGGATCCCCCAATGCTGCGCAGCTGCGTACTCGTAGCCGGGCGGGCATTCGCCCACCGAGCAGTCCTGTTTGGTTCAGCATCTAGGGCTTAGGGTTGAAGATTTGAGGGTTTAGGGTATCTCACCGGACACCACAGTCTGAAATAATGACTCCTACACTAATTACTGTCATTACCTCATCGTTGCCTGTTGTTGCTACGTAATTTCATCAGGAGTACAGCTAGTCTTGTTATGAATACTTAACACCGTAATACTATTGATCGTATTGTTTTGACGAGGGACTGGATAAGTCTAGGCTTTGCTGGGCTCTATAACCTCCCACCTGAAGGGTAAGGTTAACAGAATTCTGTAGGAGTTTTGTGTAGGGGCTTGAACAATCAGCATACGGTGTGGTATGGATTCTACTACGATTGCGGACTATACCTCAAGGGATTTTGCCTGTGTCCGTTTGGTACTGTAGGGCTTCAACGCTGGGGCTTAAGTTTAGGGTTGTTTAAGGCTCTAGGGTTTCAGGATGTAGGGCACTACGGTGAAGGGATTTAGGGTTTGCAAAGGCTACGCGCTTAAGATTTGAAGGCGGAACGCCCTGTGCCCTCCCCAGCCCCCCCGGCCCTCTAATATAGGGGCCTTAACAATTAGAATGTGGTGTTGGGGCTAAATCTACTGTTATTACAATAAGGAACCTCCCAAAATAGTATAATGGGGTTTTGGGGCTAACTATACTATATAAAACAATAAAGAACCCCCAAAATAGTGTAGGTAATTATTACGGCCCCAAAAGCAGGGGCTGGCTGGAGGCCTCCCGCCCCCGCAGGCCCTAGCCCGAGTCCTCAAACTCTGCACGGCATGAAAATCGAATATTGCTTTGTTTTGCACAAGGTTCCTAATTGGGCACCCTAAATATTAGGTGCCGTACTATAATCGGGACCCAAAAATGTACCATAATTTTGACAACTACCCATACATTACAAGGATATGTAATCGCCCGTTTGTATAAACCGTTTTTGTACGGAAGAAGCCTTAATTGCATGGAAAAACAAGGGCCCCCGCAGTGTTCCTTTCCGCAAGATTTGGGGTGGCGAGGGTCCGACCCTTATAGACCCCCTCAAAGGAACCCTATTCGTCTTGAATGCCAAGGCGATTCTCACAGAACCCCTGAACCTCTTTCTGAACCCAAACTCTGCTGATCAGCTTTGCACACTTAGCACTGTTGAACCCAGGCTCTGTGCTATCAGTTGGGCTTACGTTCTCACAACTCGGACACAGCCAGGCGAGGTTCTTAGGTGCGGAGTCGGTGTGAAAAGTAGATTGGAGTCGATTCTCGCTTGTATCAGTTGGGTTTAGGGTTTGGGGCTTAGGGCACCCTCTACACTTTTTGAGCACGGACTTGGAGTGTATGCCGGCAGCGAAGCTCTAGGGGGCACCCTCTACACTAAACCCAAAACCCCCTAAACCCTTTTCTTGCAACTGCGCTTGAAGACCAAGCCTTAAACCCTTCCGTAGCCCTCTCTCTCTCTCTCTCTCTCTCTCTCTCTCTGCCGTTGCATCCAGAGAGTCTAGCAGCGCCAGGCAACCCAGGTTCAGCCCTTGAGGCCCCTTTTTGCATCAGGACTTGTGCAATCGCCTGAATACATGGACGGAAGGCCCCTTTCAGCATGGGCTTGGATTGTGTGCCAGCGAACCCTAAACTCTAAACCCTAAACCCCAAAACCCCAAAATCCTAAACATCCCTAAACCCTAAACGTGAGCCGCAGCCCTGTCTCTGGAACCTTCGCTTTGATGAGGCTCGGGCCGGCCCGCTGAAGAAGTCGCCACAGCGGCCTTGGTCGAATCTTCGGTGCTGTCTTCTGGGTTTAAGGGGTTTAAGGCTTTAAGGATTTAGGGGTTGAGGGTTCGGGGATTTAGGGTGTAGGGATTTAGGGTTTAGAAGTTTGGGGTCTTAGGGTTTAGCAGTGGTATAGGGGTTAGCTAACCAGTGGTTTTGGGGGTTCCCTTGGCTCTTTAGCTCCTTACTTAATAGGGAGTATCATCATCCCTGGCTCCTTAGCTCCCATAATATCAATGGTTAGTTAAGGATTTAGGGGCTGAGGGTTTCTGGATTTAGGGTGTAGGGATTTAGGGTTTAGAAGTTTGGGGTCTTAGGGTTTAGCTGTGGTTTAGGGGTTAGGGTAGCGGCTAATGCTCCCACAACACAGACAAGCCAAATGAGATCTCAAGGTCACACTAGGAACATGAAAGGCCAAGCCAAACAAGTGACACCTTCGAAAGAATGACCATACAAGGCGCTCGTTTCACAACCTTACCAGACAAAGAGAGCTTGGTCTCGCGTCGCATTGAGACTGACTCCTTCAAACTTTGCTCCGAAGGGTGGCTTAACGAAATCCAACCTGCAACATCTTTGCGACAGAAACCCTAGACCCTAAACCCTAGACCCTAAACCCTAGACCCTATAAACCCTAGACCCTAAACCCGAACCCTAAACCCTAGACCCTAAACCCTAGACCCTAAACTGTAACCTGGGGCCTCCAAAGAACTAAACCAGCGATAGACCAGGAACTCGCCGAGAAACCCTTGACAGAAGACTGTGCACGAATTATCACCGTAACATTTTACAGTCTAACGGAACGTACTGCAATAAGATTTTGCAAGGATGACCTGAAAATGGTCAGGGTTGGTCTGCTGCAAGAGCTTACGATACGCCACTTGTGGGCAGTTAGTTGCCTCTGGACCTCCACACACCTGCTTCCTTCTCGGTTATGTGGGTCCTCGTCTGGATCTGCTCTAAGCGCCGAAGCAAGAACTCCACCCGAGACGACTCCAGGTGGCTCACCATCTCTTCAAGTGAGGAAAACGAAGACATCTTTCGCTGTCGCTCGTCATCACCGCTACACGGAAGGCTCACTAAACCTCCGTCCACCGTCCAGGAGCTTCCATCCTCGAAGACGATTTTGTCGGGAAGCACTTCGAAGCCTTGCCGTCCGGAGATCTCATCGTACATGCCCCCGCGCAAAGGCAGCAGGAGGTGCAATGTGGACTCCATTTCGATGCCGGAATCTGACAAGGTCCGTCCGTCTTCAAGCTTGCTCCCCCTGAAAAACAAGCGCTGCTGGTCGGGAGGGATGCCTTCGCGGTCTCGAATCAATTCTTTACAGCTGCCAATGGTGTCACTTCCTTCCACGTTAAAAGCCAGCGTCTTGTTTAGCATCCTCACAAACACTTGGTAACCTTGCCGATTGCAATCGATCTTGGAGCTTGCTGCATGCTTCGGCGAGTCTTGGCCATACTTGGTCTTCTTGACAAGGAACAAGATGGACTCCTTTTCGATGCCACAATCTAACAAGGTATGTCCGTCTTCCAGAAAGTTTCCCTTGAAAATCAAGCGCTGCTGGTCGGGCGGGATGCCTTCGCGGCATCGAATTAGTTCTTTACAGCTGTCGATGGTGTCACTTCCTTCCACGTCTAAGGTCAGCGTCTGGCCTTTTAGCATCTTCACGAACACTTGGTAACCTTGCAGAGAGCACTCGGGCTTGGAGCTTGCTGAAATCTCGAGAGCCGCATCTTTCGGCAAGTCTTGGCCATCCTTGGTCATGGTGGCTGATGTCGAATTCGCCCCGACCGGGCCAGCAACACATGCGAGGCACTCGGTGGTTGCAAGCAGCTCCTGTTTCTGAAGGTGGACTGCCTCAGCCTGCTGGATCATCTGGAGCAGCGACTTCTCCTTGAGGTAGAAGGGCTTGTTCTGCAACGAACATCGCAGCGTCTCAATATCCACATCCATGGCCAAGGATCATTCGTTGAGCCTGGAGGTCTGCTTCACGGACGGATGAATCGCAAGGCCTGGGGCTCGGGATATGGCTTTAGGGTGGCATTGAGGCCTTGATTTCCTGGAGTGTCGCGCAGATAACTCCTGCGAGGGTATTTGGAGGGCCTTGAGGTTCATAGTCTACTTGGAGGATCATGGGACCTGGTAAGCAGGGTTATAAGTGCCTGTGCCTTAATTGGGGTTATAAGTACTTATAAGTATAGTTACCTTATTTATAACCCCACTTACTAAGTCCCATGATCCTTTAAGTAGAGCCTGCTGAGGCTTACGGGGCGGAGTCTGAGGCTCGAGCTCTTCCGACGCGGAAGCCAAGGCCCCTGCAACTGCCGTTACCCCGATAGCTCCCGCGCTGCAGCCTGAAAACGCCGCAAACTCGGGAGGACGAAACCCTCTCAGTTTACGGGCTCAGGGCTGTTTTTCCTAAGCCCTACACATTAAAAACCATAGGGTTCTTGGTTTAGGTTTTTTGTTGGTGTTTACCACTTGGGGCTCCGGGTTTCTCTAGACATGGTTTCGGCTCCCGCATCGCCAGCCACAAAGGCTTTAAGGATTGGGACTCGACTGGAGCTAAACGGATCCTACTATTTAGGGTACTTTATTAGGGCCCCTATTTTCGGAAACTCCCATATGGCAAGGGTTCCTTAGGGTAGCTCTGCCCACAGCACTTTCGACTTCCATTGGAGAGCGAAGAAGTAAGAGGAGTGCTGTTACTTCTTGTTCAGAGCTATTGAGAATCAAACCCTGAGCCCAGATCCAACGAGATGCACTACCTTACACGGCACATGCTTCCGTCTAAATGCGGCAACTGGCCTCTCGGACTGTGCAATTAGATGGGTGGTTGTCAAAATTATGGTCCCTTTTTGGGGTACCCTAAATATTAGGTGAAGTAATATAATAAGGACCCAAAAAGGCACCCCAAGTTTGACAACCACCCAGATCCAAGTTTCCTACACTTCAAGGTTCGGGAGCTTAGGGTCTTCGGGGCCGCCAGTCTTCGGGTTTGGAAACACTTCTGCACACTACCATAAGTTGGAGGATCGCGGGACTTAGTAAGGTTATAAGTACCGTAATTGGTGTTATAAGTAATTATAAGCACAGTTACCTTACATATAACTTTATACTTACTAAGTCCCATGATCCTCCATGTACGTTGTGCTTTGGGCTCCCACCTCCAAAGCCTTAACACGAAACCCACACTCGTCGCGACTCAAAATTGCGAAAACACCTGTTCAGCGGTTTGGCAGCAAGCCAAGTGCCGTACAACAGCAAACCCCAGACTCCCATACCCCAGACCCCTAAACCTTACCTGTAGCCAGAAAGACCTTTTTAGGGTTCCTTGCTATGGTCTCTATATACATAAATTCTTAGAAAGGTAGGTCTTTTCGGCTACAGGTATGGCTAATCCAGCTACCTGGAAACCAGAGAATAAGAAATAACATGTAATATACTGTAGACAGTACCATATGCAACACATACTGGCGAGTGTATGGTATTTCACGTATAACCCCAAAAACTGCGTCATTCCGAAGCCCTCAACCCTTCCACTCCGAGAACCGACAGTTGCATCTCAAACCAGGAGGCACTCCGAGATCCCAATGTTCCCCTGACAAGGAATACCTTAACCACCCACATAACCTACTTTCTCAAGGAGTCATATAAAGGAGTTTGCGAAAAAGGGTGTGTTCCTTCTAGAGTCTCCTCAAGAATTATTTTTTGGAGAGCTTTTGTTCATCTAAAACCCAAGAGAATATCCCTAAACAGCCAAGTTTTGTACTGCCCAGGTATACCCTCCAGACTCTGGGTTACCAGGCTGGACATTATGACTGAAAGTCTTAGTCTACTCCCTGGGGCTCTCTGGGCAGATGGAAGCTCATGGGACTTAGTAAGCAAGGCTCTCTGTACCTTATTGTGGTTATATAAATGTAACTATTGGTATAGTTCCCTTCTTTATAGTCTTACTTACTAAGTCCCATGATCCTGCAAGGGTAGTATATGGTATAGTATGATATACTGTAATACACTATAACATACTGTAGTATGCTTTTATCTACTATAATCTACTATAATATGCCCCATGATCCCTGCAAGGATGCTTGAGCCCAGAGATCCGCCTGTTCAGTTCGAAGGGAACTTGCTGCCAGGCGCGGTGGTCGTCCCAGCCTCTCGGGGACACGCCCAGAGAGCCCAATACCCCTTAATTATGGAATATACCTAAAATCATAATATTAAGGCCCCTATATTTTCAGGTGTATTCCTTAATTAAGGGGTATTGGGCTTTCTGGGCGGTTTCGAGCTTCAGTGCGGTGGATCAGACTACGACTTCCTTCTCTTGAAATATACCCCAAAGCCCTGTTTTAAGCATTAAGGCCCCTGCTTGAATATGATGTGCACCATGTCTTGGGAGGATGAAAAAAATTGGGCTTGCACGAGGCCTTTTGCAGCTGGGCTCTTAGTGTCAGCCAGCGAGTCCGCCCACGCTCTGAAGCTCAGCTCGGCGGGCTGAGATTCCAACGGTTACTAGGATACCCAGCAGGGTTTAGGGTTTAGGGTTTAGGGGTAACCTAAGAATAAAAAGGCCTCTCTTTTTGGTATTGGGTAACTTTATAAGGAACCTAGGACTACAAAAAGGGAATAAGGGTACTACTGGGCATCCTAGGTTAGCAAGCCGCGAAACTGCAATTATCTCTGCAAGCACCATGAGGGAGTTTCCGAAAATAGGGGACCCTAGTATAGCACCCTAAATAGTAGGACCCTTGTCATAAGGACCCCCAAAAAGGTACCCTAATTTTCGGAAACTCCCATGAAGCCGAAACCCTTTTTGCAACAGGCTTGCTACTTCGCCCGGAAGTTGGACCTGGGCAGCCCTTCACCCTAAATCCGACACGCTGTGCCCTGAATGCCGAACCCTACACACTCTAGATCCCTTACAGTAGCCCGTATAGAAACCCTTGTAGAAACTCCTCTGACAACCCATGTGATATAATGACATGTAGGAGAACATTTATCGGAACCTTACCGTCCGTCGTGGGGAGCGGCTTCCACAAGAACTCTCTGCAAGGCTTTGGTTTAGCGAATATGGCCCCGATGTCTAGGACGATGCTAGTGTTTGTGGGGGATACCTTGTACAGGAGTAAGGACCCGCCAATTAAGGGACATCGAAGTTGCTCTGAAGTTCACCATCCTAATTCTTCTCTAAACAATAAACCCTTGCACCCTTTGCGAACTCAAACACCCTCGATCCCTGAAACCCTAGATCCCTGTACCCGTTTGGAACCACTTTCCTCAAACCATAAACCCCTGAAACCCCTAAACCATAACACGAAAGCCCTACATGCCCTTAGCCACCCCGTATTGCAATCCTTATAGTCACCCGTGCACACGCTGGAACAGTAACCACATAAACCGAGGCGGTGGCAAACGCCCCTGGAGTGGCAGACGCGACCCTCGTCGTCTTCGCCAAGTCCTCGCAAATGGGGTTTTAGGGTTTCGGCGCTCACACTCGGACAATCCAGGCGAGGCATATGGGTTCTAGGGTTTAGGTAGGGACGCAAGAGGGCGATGCCGTTGAGGGTGTGAGCGTTTAGGATTGTAGGAAGTCTAGGGTTGTGAGCTTTCGAGCACTTGTTCGGCATCCACACTCGCCGGGACCAGACGCAGAGTTCAAGAACCTCGGGTTGACGGCTTGAACCACCACGCCTGAGGCAGGGAGCAAGGTTTCGAAATGTTTGTTGGAATCCGTTCAGACGGAAATACCACCTTGCGCAAACCCTATGCAATTCGGAGAACAGATCTGGAACCTTCTGAGACTAGACAGTAAACGCCGCGAGTCTTCCAGCTCCTCAACCCTCAAGACCTTCAACCCCACTGTAGTTGCAAATGCCGTTAAAGGCAACCATGGCCAGAATGGCTTGTCACCTCCAAATAACGGTCAAGATGCTAACAACTACCCGTGGACCCTGTGAAGCATATCGGGCCGTGTACAAACGTGGTACTTGGAGGCCCTTTTGACTTAGTAAGTAGGGTTAGTAAGCTGGGTTATGGGGATTATAATGGGGTTTCTAGGGGATACTAAGTAGACTTACTAAGTCAAAAGGGCCTCCAAGTAGGTTTGGGGAACAACGCATAAGGACTTCTAGACTACTAAACCCTTTTGGCTACTGGACTCCCAAACCCTAAATCGTTGGCAAAACAACAATCCTTCGCAAGGCCGACACTGGTGAAAGACGACCTCCGACCTTGCAGACAAGGAGTTCGGACAGGGGTCGAAGGTGATCTAAATACTAGACCCTACATCCCAAGCTTCAGCGGAGTGCGTGCGGCGGCTTCTTATGCGGCTTCACTTGTTGGGGGATTCAAGGCCAATCCTAATCCTCGCGGTTAAGGTCTCGGGCTTTGGCGCTCACAAACGGACCATCCGAGCCAGTATTTGGGTTGGCTTCACGGTAAGGCTTCCGTGAGGTTAAACAAGGTAGCTATACTTAAACATTACTTGGAACCCCAATTAAGGTACTCTTAACCCTTATGCACTTAGTCCCGTGATGCTCCCTTATGGAACCCTCATAGATCCCTCAAAGTCATAGACCCCTTAAAGGAAACCTTTAAGGAACCTTCTGAAGGAACCCTTACTTCCCATTCCCCCATGATCCTCCAAGTAGGGCCTGGGATCCTCCGGGCGAGGCTGCCATAGGGGCGACAGAAGCCGTTAAAGCTATCTATATATATCCATATAGCTCACACCCCCCCCCCAAGACCTACCGCGAGGTGCTTCGGCTAGCAATGGGTAGTAGAACATGTAAGGATTTGAGGAAACCATTAGGATAAAATACACTCATACATAAACAATGGAAACGCATATCGTGTATAATCAATAGCTGAATACACTGTAATGACCTACGACGGCGCGACATCGCCGTTGGCGGATTTGGGCAAGCTTCAATGCCTGCAATTGTTTAATA